TTCAAATTAAAATCCATTCATGTTTTTGCCAAGACGCTGGTTTACATCCGTTTTGATCCTCATATATTTTTTTAGATCTAATAGAGTGTTTGATTTTGAAAATAAGCTAATTCTAAGTGAGCTGATGCATGAGTCTATTTTAGTGAAATAACTTCTCGTGATATTACTAATTATTAGCTTGTTAGAAATATAATAATAATAATTAATTATTTTATTTTATTTCACAAATCACAAACCAATAATTAAAATTAGAAAACTAAAAGTGTAAGATGGACTACTTTGCTCCACGGACCAAACAACCAAGATTTTCACACGACCCTTTTGGCTCTCGGCGTCTGGCGACTTCCCGTCTTCTCTGTGCTCAGGAACCTTCCAGAATCGTGGAGACTGGAGAGTGGAGACCGGTCGGAACTAGAGAACTCGCGCCTTCTCTCTCTCCTCTTTATACTTGCCCCTCCTCGACGATTCGCCAAAAGGCCCCAAACGCGCACCGCCAGCCGATACGAATCCGACGATCTCGATCGATCCACCTCCCCAATCGCACGCCAATCAGCACCAGTCGCCGCCGCGATGGCGGAAGAGGCGAAGGCGAAGGGCAACGCGGCGTTCTCGGCCGGCCGCTTCAAGGAGGCTGTCCAGCACTTCAGCGACGCCATCGCGCTCGCGCCCGACAACCACGTCCTCTACTCCAACCGCTCGGCGGCGTACGCGTCGCTCGGGCGCTAGACGACGCCGAGCGGACCTTGGCGCTGAAGCCGGACTGGGTCAAGGGCTACTCCCGCCTCGGCGCCGCGCACCTGGGCCTCGGCGACGCGCCCAAGGCCGTCGAGGCGTACGAGAAAGGGCTCGCGCTCGAGCCGTCCAATGAGGCGCTCAAGTCCGGCCTCGCCCAGGCGCGCCAGGCCGCGTCGGCGCCGAGACGTCCCGTGGGCTCCGGGGCTGACGCCGTCGGCAAGTTGTTCCAGGGCCCTGAGCTATGGAGCAAGGTCGCCGCCGATCCCACCACGCGTGGCTACCTCGACCAGCCGGACTTCGTTCAGATGCTGCAGGAGGTGCAGCGGAACCCCAGCAGCCTGAACAGCTACCTTTCTGACCAACGAATGGTTCAGGTGCTCACCCTCATGCTGGGCATCAAGTCCCAGTTCCAGAACCAGAGCAATGCGGCGCCTGAGCCGGCCGCAGCCCAATCGAACCCGGCGCCACCAAAGCAGCAGCCAGAGGCGAAGGCAAGGGAACCGGAGCCGGAGCCCGAGCCTATGGAGGTGACGGAGGAGGAGAGGAAAGCGTCGGCGCAGAAGGAGAAGGAAGCTGGCAACGCCGCTTACAAAAGGAAGGATTTTGATACCGCGATCCAGCACTACACAAAGGCCATGGAGCTCGATGATGAGGACATCTCCTACATCACCAATCGTGCTGCTGTTTATCTTGAGATGGGAAAGGTAAGGCCTCCTAGGTCCTAGTTCTAAATCGAAGTTATTTACATGTGGATTGTAGTCTTCAGTTAAAGAAAAAAAAAGGTAAAATGTGGGATGTTTGAATTTTGTCTATAAATCAGCTACCGATCGAGACCTTTTTACCACATACTGCAAACAAACAGCTTTTAGATATGAAATTGGCTAAGTATTTCTCTCTCCTTAGAGTAGTTGAGGCAAATGATATTCCAGATCTACTTGAATTGGTCGAGAACTCGAGTTGCATTGTTAAAGGAAGTTTTGTGATAGGAGTTGGTGATCGTGATAGTGAGCAAAAATGCAAAATACATTAGTGTTCCACAGTCATGAAATTCTGATACAGGCCACTTGGGAGTTCCCTAGTTCTGAAATTCTGGTAGAGGCAACTTGGAGCTTGATGAGTAGGCTCAAGCCAGAACGACATTATTGTTGAAGTGATTCCTTGTATTTTTTTTACTACGAGTCGTGAATGAATTCACTCGTATTGTTGGCTTATGCTTAGGCAATGTAAAAGGCTTAACGGTAACAGCATTAAACCTGGTTGGGTAGCTCACAGAGAAGGAGCAGAAGAATAGAAAAAGGGTAGAAATTGTCTCTGCTAGATGGAGTAGAAGAATAGAAAAAGGGTAGAAATTGTCTCTGCTAGATGGCAACTACTAATCTGAGGACTGCAGAAATACTTGTAGCTAGAAGAAATCAACATATATACTTAGGCATGTCCTGCAATAATATCTTGGTAGCGGTTTTCTCATTCGTGTACTGCATTATCTGGTGTCGTACAAGTAGTATTCAGGTGTCCTTCAAAACTAATATTTTTTCTTTGAATTCCAGTATGATGAATGCATTAAGGACTGTGATAAGGCTGTTGAGAGAGGAAGGGGACTACATGCTGATTTCAAGATGATCTCGAGGGCACTCACTAGAAAAGGAACTGCTCTTGCCAAACTTGCTAAATCATCGCAAGACTATGATGCTGCCATCGAGACTTTCCAGAAGGCGTTAACTGAGCACCGCAGCCCAGATACCCTGAAAAAACTAAATGATGCAGAACGAGCAAAGAGGGAGCTGATGCAACAAGAGTACTATGACCCAAGAATTGCTGACGAGGAGCGAGAAAAAGGTATGCCACATGACTTCTGTCTGCTATCACTTATCACTTGATCATTATTCATGCAGTGAGTTCTGTTGCCTGCAGTTTGTTTCTGGTCAAGAATTGCATGTGGTGTTGGTGTTCAACCATTTGTTATTTCTGTGCAGGTAATGAGTTGTTTAAGCAGCAGAAATATCCAGAAGCAGTGAAGCATTACACTGAAGCTCTCAGGAGAAACCCCAAGGACCCAAGGGTAATTTGTTGGACATCATTTTTCACTTGCATAAATTGTAGGCTGCATAGTATCACTGTGCATCCTTTAATCTGCTGGGTAAAACTATTTGAGAATATGAATTGGTACAACATTGGGAAACTTGAAAACATTTGGATGAATCTACAACTGATTCTTTGACTTCTGCTAGTGACAATTTGAAAACTTTAGGTTTGCCTTTTTGCCTTCCACAAGTAACGTCATGTGATCGATGTGTGGACATTTTTCTAATTTCTTTCCTTCATGGATGATTTCAGGTATACAGCAATAGAGCTGCCTGTTACACCAAGCTGGGGGCCCTTCCTGAAGGTCTGAAAGATGCTGAGAAGTGCATTGAGCTAGATCCCACATTCTCCAAGGGATACACAAGGAAAGGTGCCATCCAATTTTTCATGAAAGAATATGACAAAGCGCTGGAAACTTATCAAGCTGGCCTAAAGCATGACCCGAAAAATCAGGAGTTGCTTGATGGTGTAAGGAGGTAATGCTGCCGGTGGAGGAGATCATACACGTCTTGTGATGTTGGTGTGTGCTAAACGGCAATTCTAATCGTTGCTCTGATCTTTTTCTTTTCAGGTGTGTTGAACAGATCAACAAGGCGAGCAGAGGCGAACTCAGCGAGGAGGAACTGAAAGAGAGACAGGTAAACTGGTTTTGTCTAAATCTTTTGTTCGTTAATGATGGATGGTGTACTTTGCCTGTCGTTCCATCCACTAGTAATGCAAGAAGCCAAGACTAACAGGTCACCCTTTGTTACGCAGAACAAAGCCATGCAGGACCCTGAAATCCAGAGCATCCTGACTGATCCGATCATGCGGCAGGTAATGATAAATGTCTGCATTTGATTTGAAATGCACTTAAGGTAGGTGAGCCTGATGACGATCTGATAATGCCGAGCTTGCCCTGCAGGTTTTGACCGATTTGCAGGAGAACCCTCGGGCTGCCCAGGCGCACCTCAAGAACCCCGGAGTGATGCAAAAGATCCAGAAGCTCGTCAGCGCTGGGATAGTTCAGATGAAGTAGAAGTAGACAGTGGCTGGAATGTCCGGGTTCAGAACTGGGACCTGTCCAAATGCTGTGAACCTGATCATTGTTTCGCATTTTGGAAAACTGAACCGGTTTGTGTGGTCATGGCTGTTAATTATCCATATGGTTTTTCCCACCCGACATGTTCCAATTCGTGTCCCTTTTTTTTTTCTTCGGGAATGCCTGTGAAGAGGAAGAGTGTCCAGTCCAGTCTCCTCGCACTCGAGCAGTTTCTAGAGTTACGTGATGGTACCGTCCATCTGAAAAGCCGCAGTGGTTCACCACCCGGGTTCATCGGATCAGCAGCAGCTGCTTCGCCAACACCCCACATCGGTTCGGCACTTCGGCTCCTTCGATGGTTCGATACGTCGGGCCTTGCCAGTGGAGTGGCAGGTCCCCATCGTGTAAGTTCAGATTGGCGATGATCTGATAATTGCTTATGCTTGGGTAAATAGGTAACAGGCTCCAATCGAGTTTCTGAAGCCCAAAATTGCTCCTTCTTGGCTTCTTTTGCAGTAATTCCCGAGTGATCATAGTGGCGTCGTGCTAGCTCAGTGTGTGTGTATATATATATATATGTCTATATATATATATATTTTTTTTTTTTTGAAACGAGATACCTCTGCTTATATTGAAAGCAATTAAATGTTCACAAAGAGGCTGGGGATACCAGCTCACAAAAGGACATCACAAGAGGACACAACAACCTATTACAAGTCTAGGCAAAATCAGATTTCTTCAATATCCGAAACATTGCTCGTCAGGGGAACAAAATCATGCCACCACTTCACCAACTGCTCCATCAGCTGATCCAGAGTTCCTTGCTCGTTTGAGTTGAGAAGGGGGCGCCATTTCTGTAGAAAGGTCTAGCATTGGAAATGCGAGCTCAGTACTCTCTACGTTACTTTTTACATGTAACAGAACAAGAGGGAGAACGATCTGCAACTTCTCAGCTTCTCAACAAGAGCAAGAAACCAAAAACATATAATTTCACTGTCCTCTCATCGCGAAACCTCGACAAGGCCATTACCAGGTCCAAAATCAATGGCAAATAATGCCCCCTCACGGGGTTCAATACACTACAAAGCTACATACACCTTGATGTCCTTCCTATCAACCTGCTCTGCTGTTGCTGTATGGATTTATCTACGGGAAATGAAAATTAAGCAGTAGCTTCCTCTGTTTTGGTGGAGAGCTGGTTCTGGATGTGCTGTGGGACGACATCAAACTTGGCGAGCTGCATCGTGTAGGACGCTCGCCCCTTGGTCATCCCCCGGAGGGTGCTGACGTATTGGAACATCTCAGCAAGTGGCACAAAAGCATCAACCACCTGTGAATTGTGATCAATAGCATTGCAAGCAAAATGTTTAAGGTCACGTTGCAAATACTAGACTATGATAAACTAGTCTAAAAAAGGGGAGGATGTACTATTTCATACCTTAAGTCCACCAGGCTTATCCCCGAAGCTGTTAACCTGTCCTCTTCGAGAGTTCAAATCACCAATAACATCGCCCAGATGCTCTTCAGGAGTTATCACTTCAACTCTCATTATAGGCTCGAGAAGCCTTGGACCAGCTTTCCTCATTCCCTCACGGAAGGCTCCTCTGGCTGCAATTTGGAATGCTAAGACACTTGAATCGACATCATGATATGAGCCATCAACCAGCACAGCCCGGAAGTCCACAACTGGGTAACCGGCGAGGACACCATTGGGTAAGCTTTCCTCCAATCCTTTCATAACTCCTGGTACATATTCTTTGGGCACTGCCCCTCCCTTGATTTCACTCTTGAACTCATACCCACTTCCAGCTTCCAAAGGTTCAAAACGCACAATAATGTCAGCAAACTGCCCAGATCCACCAGATTGCTTTTTGTGGACATATTGTATTTCTGCAACTTTGGAAATACTTTCACGGTAGTTGACTTGTGGAGCTCCAACGTTTGCTTCAACCTGCACAGATCGTTTGCATAAAAGAAGTAAAGGTAATGTGACAGGTACAAAACTGAGTTAACAACAGCTAACGACCAAATAATAATTTCTATACAGAATAGAATTAAAGAAACATAACGCATGCACTGCATAAATGCAGCTAGTCAGAATACTAACCTTGAACTCCCTCTTTAGTCTGTCTACAATGATATCAAGATGCAGTTCTCCCATTCCTTCAATAACAGTCTGGTTGGTTTCCTCGTCTCTAGAGAAGTGGAATGACGGGTCTTCTTGAGCAAGCTTGATTAACCCATTAGCCATTTTGTCAGCATCAGCTTTGGTCTTGGGTTCAATAGCAACCTTAATGACAGGATCAGGAAATTCCATACGTTCAAGCACTACAGGCTTGTCTGGGTCACAGAGTGTTTCACCAGTAATTGTGTCTTTCAGACCAGCAAGTGCTACTATGTCACCTGTCACAGCAACTGGTATATCTTCCTTACTGTTTGCGTGCATCTCAAGGAGTCTTCCAATTCTTTCTTTCTTATCTTTATTTGCATTGAGAACATATGAACCAGCTACCAGCTTCCCAGAGTATATGCGAACAAATGTTAGTGACCCCACAAATGGATCAGTCATGATCTTGAAAGCTAACCCAGAAAATGGTTCATCATCACTTGGTTGCCTTTCAAATATTATTTCAGGGTCTTCTGGGTCAGTACCCTTCATTGAAGGTAGATCAAGTGGAGATGGCAAGTAATCGACAACAGCATCAAGCAATGGTTGGACACCTTTGTTTTTGAATGCTGAACCACATAAAACTGGGACAAAGCTAGCAGAAATTGTTCCCTTTCTGATTAATTTCTTAACAGTTTCCTCATCTGGTTCAGTTCCTTCAAGATAATTCTCCATAACTTCATCATCCAATTCAATAATAGTTTCCAGCATCTGAACACGATAATCTTGAGCCAGCTCTTGGAGATCATCAGGTATGTCTTTGTATTCAAATTTTGCACCCAGCTCCTCCCCTGTCCATACAATAGCTTTCATTCTGACTAGATCAACAACTCCTTGGAAATTGTCCTCCGAACCAATCGGCAACTGAATCACCAATGGTTTGGCACCCAAGTTTGCAACTATCATGTCTCTAGTTCTAAAGAAGTTAGCTCCAAGGCGATCCATTTTGTTCACGAAACATATTCTTGGAACCCCATATTTATCTGCCTGGCGCCATACGGTTTCAGATTGTGGTTCTACCCCAGCAACACTGTCAAAGAGACATATAGCACCGTCCAACACCCTGAGAGCACGTTCAACCTCAAGAGTGAAGTCGACGTGACCAGGAGTATCAATAATGTTGATTCTGTGTTTGTTCCAGAAGGCAGTTGTTGCTGCAGATGTAATGGTTATTCCCCTCTCTTGTTCTTGTTCCATCCAGTCCATTGTAGCTGTTCCCTCATGAACCTCGCCAATCTTGTAGTTCCTTCCAGTGTAATACAGAATGCGCTCAGTAGTTGTTGTCTTTCCAGCATCTATATGGGCCATAATACCAATATTGCGGTAATCATGTAAAGGCACTTGGCGATCTGGATACAAAAAAAAAGCAAGTTAATATCTAACTCATTAAACCAACAAAACGATATATTATTTCCAACAAGAATGGTGGATTTAGCAATAAGAAAATGTAACTAAAAAAGCAAGTGACATGCAATTTTCAGAGCTTCATTTGGTTTAGCATTGATATGACACATGCCAATATTTTAAGTTGCATACAATGAAATCTATAGTACCAAGTGGCATAAAAAGCACGGGACATTGACACACTGCGCCCTCCACATTTCATAAAGGGCATACCCAGTGCAAAGAGCTCCCGCTCTGTGCGGGGTCTGGGGAAGGGTGTCAGTGGCAAGCCTTACCCTCGCCTGTGCAATGCGAGGAGACTGCGACTCGAACCCGGGACCTTCCGGTCACAGGCGGTAAGACTCTACCACTTGCACCAGGCCCTCCACATTTCATACTTGCTGAAAATTCGCATCAAACAAACTCATGAAGAGGCACAATCATTTACAAGACCTTGGAGGCTTGGAACCTGTTTTTCCTAAATATTTGCAGAGTCTCCATTACTGGGCCTCTTTAAAATATCTCCAAGAGACTCTCTTCATGGTTCTTTATCACAAAATTCAGGGGACAAAATCAGACTCCAAAGGATTCTCTAGACCACTCTCCATCTTTTCTGCTCCCCAAAACCACCCTTCTCGCTCTCCGCTAATGGAGGGGCTACATCACACTCTAAATTCATTACATGGTAGTTCTCTTATGAATTTTTTCACACAAGGAAAATTATGATAAGCTATTGGAGTCCGTCCATTGGAGACACGAGAGACATATAAAGAGAATATTCATGGGATGGCTCTTTAAATAGATATATAGATATTGAAGTTTAGAAAGACTTTTGGAGTGGTTCTAAGCCCTGTACTTTCAGTTAGTTCTAACTTGAATTTGTGATAACCAAATTAAATTAGAATAACATCGACAGAAACAAAGTCCATCAGCAAGCTATGAAGTTCATCATTGCTTTAATTCGATTCTGAGCACCATAATTCCACCATTTTTCAAAGAAACAACTTAAAATGATTTGTCCGGTAAAGCACAGACAATTAACAAGCATTATAGGCACTGCAGAGACAAGCACGTCAACAAGCAAACTGGTCCCTTTGGGAAAGCACGATGCAGCACAATCACTAACGATCAACCACAATTTCGCTCCCGTATACTGCAAAACACCGCAGCTCTACGGAGGTACGCTCTTGGCCATTTCGACAAACACACGGAACACTCACGCGCCAGCGCACTACAGAAACGCCGGCGCACAATAAGAGAATGGAAACTTCACAAAAGGATTACAACGCTCGCTCACCGCTGCCAGCCATGGCGACGACCGAGAGGCGCGGCCTGCGCGGGCGCGGGCGGAGTCCGGCCGCGGGGCCTGCCACCGCGGCGCGCCCGGCGGCGAAGCGCGGCGCGTGGAAGGGGCGGTGGCCGAGGAGGAGGCGCGAGGCGGACGAGGCGGAGACGACGGCGGCGGAGGCCGGCCGGCGCGCGGACCGCGCCGCGGCGGCGGGGGCTCGCACGGGCGCCTCGGCGGCCATGGAGACTGTGCCTCTGTGGTTCTTCTTGGTGGCCTTTGCCGCGAGCTCTCTCGTCTCTCCCCTCGCCTGCTCGCCTGCGCCGCGAGACTGTCGCGAGCAGGGGGGCTGTGGGTTTTATGCGCGCGGCGAGCGGCGGCCAACGATGCCGGTGATGCCTGAGGATAATGTGAGCCGCGCGGCTGCGAGGAAGACGCTTCCCCGTCTCACGTTATGGATTGGCGCTTTTTTCAGGGCGTGTTTCCGACCCTGTACCTGGACGGCCTGGGCAGCCCAACTGGCCTAGGCCTGGGTAGGTCCTAAGTGGTGTAACTGCTCTTGTTTACGCCTGTGTATCTAGTGAGCTCGGCTCAGGCGAGGTTGTGTTTGTTATCGAAGAGATAGCCGGGCTGAGAGGCTAACCGCCACCAACTGCCACATCGAAATAGTGTTTGTCATTTGGCTGTGGTCGGCCAGGCCCATAACAACAAACAGAAATGAACATGAATGAAAGGAGAATGAGGTTGCTCTTCCATAATCGTTACAACAACAAATCAAAGTTTCAGCATGCAATAGTTGGCCTCAGACATGCTAGTTTAACCATTCATGACATTACTCTACATGGGATAATCAAAGTCAGTAAAGAAGAACAGCAGCATCCGCTAGTCAAGTTTTGAAGCCAACAAACAAAAAAGTTCACAGAAACAGATAAGAGGCAGCAAAATGATATGTAGCCAGCTAATGCATCGATCCATTGTGTCATCATTGGCCAAAATACAACATTTAACAGTTTAGCAAGCCGAGAAGGGTAACAAGTTAACAGAAAGCATGTAGCCAGCTAATGCAGTCATCCTACTGTGTCATCATCGACCTAATTAAAACAACAGCTGTGGCACATGAACAGCTTGAGTGACAGACCAACTACAACCATAAACAAGATCAAGATGACAGCATTTTTGCAACAGCCTTGCAGCCCAGGTGAATGAGGATAGATTTCAGAACCTTCAGCTGTCACCAGTTCATGGGATGCTGATGCATCCCCATGAGGGGCATGAATTGGTAACAGTAAGGGTTCTTGAGGTACCCTTGCATTAAAATCTCTAAGAGCATCATCATAGTTGTTGTACTTCTGATAGATAGCCCCTTCTTCCCTAAGCACTTGCTTAGCACACTCATACCATGTAAAATAAATCCCAGGTTTCTTCCATTCAAATACCACATAGCAGGGAGGCATTATCTGAAACCAACCAAATGTAGAACATGTAAGTGGCCTGAATGACATGCCTCAGTCGACCATTCAGTTTCAATGATGGTGAACATCATCGGCTACTTGATAAAAAAATTAGCCTCAGCTTAGTAGTTTGGTGGTTTTTTTTCTTGTTTAGTCATTGGTGGCTACCAAGAATTGTAAGAATCAAATAAAGAGGCAAATAAACAACAATTGCACTCATTACCATACAGACCTTTTGATCAGTTGCACTCACTGCCATCAGCCATCACAAGAGGATGTTGTTGATGTGGAGTACAACTGAGCATAAGTGTAGAATGGAAGGATGGGCAAATAAAGAAGAAAGCACAACAACAAAACCATCAAAACAAGAATAAGGTAGTCACCTCAAGTTTATTTTATGCATCATAGGCCTTTAAATCCCACAGTTACCACCAGAGGCATAAACAACACAAATAGGCAACTAATTATCAAATAAAAAGTAGCCAACAGAGGCTACAAATAAGTTTCTTACAATACCAAGTTCAGCCCAACAACCAAGGGCTCAAATGTTCCCAAGTCCTTGCCTATTGTTAGCCACCCTCCTAGACAAACTACACCATCAAGGTCAGGTGTCAAAATAACAAGCAGACTGCACAAAAGGTCCTGTTGTCAAAAGAAGAGAGTGGATGAGGGGGTGGAGGAACTATACATCTCTACAGTCAACCCCCTCCTGGCCTTCTAGCCCTTCATGTGTAGTGGAACTACACATAGTAGTTTTTGGTCAGGAAGGTCCTAAGCCAAAGGGCCCTGTGGGCATCACTCATGTTCACAAAGCCCCTGCCTTGGGCCTTGTTGTCTAGAAGGAAGGTGGAGGCAACAATAAGTGCCTCCTCACTGAAGCCAGACATCTCCATCACAGCAAGATACAGATTGGCATCAACATGGGCAGGTCTAGTCTCCATAAGAGCATTTGCCACATTGTTCATAGCATCTAACAAGTTAGTCAACATGAGCATCTCCTCCTCAGAGAAGTTCCCTTTCTTCCTCTTTGGGCTAGCAGCTGAGGAGGTAGGAGCAGTTCAGTGGCCGTGCTATCCCCTCCCTGTTCACTAGGAATTGTGGTGTGGGTCAAAGGAGGACCATCAGCCTTGGCACCAACACTGTCAGCCTGGTTCTGCCCTAAGGCTTCACCAGACCCAAGTGCAAACTTGCCTGTGGCCATGGCATTAGCAAAGATAGCCTCCATCTCAGTGTAGAACCTAATAGGGTAGTTAAGAAACTCTGCATCTTTAGGATGGTCCTGCAGAGTTGGGCAAATGTAGTTTAAGAAAGGCAAATGTAGGTAGTCAAGGCAAAGACAAGATCAAACTGCTACCTTGCAGTGGCCAAGGTAGTGCTCTTGCTCAAGCATGATAGCATGAGCCTGGTCATCCCAAACAGCACCACTAAGGTCCTTCAACTTGCTCACCCTAGCCCATTTCTGCCTCCACTTCCTCAAGTGGTTGTACACTTGAGTTGGGCTAACAACCTCCCCACAGAACAGCTTGAGGGCTTTGGCCACAAAATTCACATCTTTGTCCTTGAAAACCTTGTCAGGCCTGCTACCATCACTAACAAGGGCAGCCATCCTCCTAAGCATAAAGCCAGAGGTGGTGTTGGTCCACCTCATTACCCTCACAGCCCCATTCCTAGCACCAGCACCAGCACCAGCTGCAACAGGGGCAGCAGCACTAGCACCAGCACCAGCTACAACAGGGGCAGAACCACCATTGATGAGCTGCTCCATCACTGAAGTACCAGCAACAAACCCACCCTCAAATGCACCTAAATCCATCCTAGGACTGGCATGTAATGAAATCAACAACAGAATTAGTCAAGAATAGACTGACAACAATATTAACAGTTGTATGAATAAACAACAGACTGACAGATCATGAAGAACAAAATGATTCAAGAACAGAATGAATGAAGCATAAAATTAGTCTCAGCTTTGTCCACCAAATTATTACATCACCGTGACACACACATGAGTTCTATAGCAGGGTACAGAAACTAAATTCAAGAACATATTACATCAACTAGTGTTTGTTCCCCTCCCTTTCCACATAGCATTGCAAATGGCATCCCTTATTTCAGCCATGTCAACAGAGTCTTGGTCCAGATGGGCTGGGGGCAGGTTGGTTGGATCAGCAGGAGTAGTGAAACATTCCTCATCAGGCACTACTTCATCAATGCCAAAACCTAGGATCTAGTTATGTAAAATGGCACAGGCAACTACAAGCTTCACTTGTGCCTATACTTGTGGAAGGGTTTGTTGTCCAAGATCCTAAACCTACCCTTTAGTCACCTATAGCCCTCTCCACAGTCACTCTAAGTGATGAGTGGCTAAGGTTGTAGAGCTCCCTTGCATTGGTGGGCCTGTTCCTTGGGCCATACTCAGACAAATGGTACCTAACCCCCCTGTAGGGAGGTAGGAAACCTTTTTTGCATGCATACCCAGCATCTACCAAGAACATTTTACCTACACAAGACATCTACTGTGAGAGTGTGTGTTAATAGGCCATGGAATATGTAATTAGTGTTGATGTGCAATTACCTTCTGGTAAACTCAAGCCATCTTCCCTGCTCTGATCTCCGCCAAAATAGTTTGCATCATGGGCAGAGCCCTCCCACCAGCCAGGACATAAGTGAATTTCAGATCACAATTCACAGCTACCATCACATTTTGGGTGGGATCCTTTTTCCTACCCATAAAAGCTTGTTGCATGCGCCTAGGAACCCTTGCTAGGAAATGAGTCCCATCTATAAAGCCAATGACATCCTAAAAAGCATGGGTCAGTCATTACAACAGGTCTAATGTAACTAATGAACCCAAGGTATACAATTACCTTAAAATATGGATTCCATGTATGGCTTTCAAGAATCTTTGGGTGAGTGGAAGTGCTAGTTGGCTTTATCATTTCATTCCTAAGCTCACCCACAACATACAACACCTGATGGAAGTGCTTGTGGACAGTTTGGATGGACCTCCTAAAGGACTGATGGACAACCCTAAATCTTTGGTTGTACCCAACAACATGTAAAAACATGGCAACCTGCTCTTCTATTGACACCCCCTCCCTATCAGTGACAAGACTCCTCTCTCTAAAAGTTCTCACTAACTTAAAAAAAGCAACTCTCTTCATCCTAATCATAGAAATACACTTTGAATCAGTGGAATTGTATATCATTCTCAGTGTTCTCTCTGTCTCATCTTTGTTCATTTTCATCCCTAATCAGGGCTAGTGCTATAGGATTAGGCAGTGGGGTTTCAGGTTCAGGGGTTTTCCTTTTCAGCCTAGTGGATACAAAGGTAACCATAACAACAGTCAAGGCAGCTGCCTTCCTACACAGCATGTCACGGCTCAAAGACAGATCCATCTACAAGCATGTATAAATGTAACATGATTTCAGCTTAATGTACCCTGCTAAGCATCAACATGAATGTGAAATGAATGCATGCCAACAAAAGCACGGCTGCATCTTGTATGTGATGCCTCCCAGTACTAAATTTGGACAACATCATCGACCAATGATGGAACAAAAACTTAGAGCAATAGTAATCGAAAATGAGATCAACATCCCTAACACATCAAGAACAACAAGGGTACAAGTAACACTAACAACGCATCAAACAGCTTATGAACAAAGAAGGTACAATACTAATCAAACAGATCAACAATCCTAAACATCATGATCCCAACAGATCAAGAACAGCAAGGTACAAGTAACCCTAATAGGAGCATGAAGCAGTTATAACAAGTATGAAACCCTAACAGATCATGAACAGCAACGAACAAGAAACCCTAAGAACTTCAAGAGGCACCACAAAAAAGAAGATTGGGGGTCGATTTCACCTTGGCTCGGGGTCCAAACAACGGAGAGGAGGCAGATCTAGAAGTAGAGGATGCAGATCGGGAAGAAGATGAAGCAGATGCGGACGGAGAAGAAGAGGAACATCGCTGCCACGGAGTCCCAGCAGCAGCCGGAGCGGGGATGCGGCGAAGAACCTCAGCGCCGGTGACCTAACCCACAACCAGCCAAAGGTCGCCGCCGCCGCCACGCACCACAACTCACCGCCGGTCTCTCATGACGGAGGTGGAAGAGCAAGCACCGAGTGGAAGAAGGAGAGAGTGGAGAGTGGGAACCCGTATATAAAGGCCGGCGAAATCGCCGCCATTTCGCTTCGCGCGCGGCGGCCAGAGCGGGAGCGGAGAGCGGGGACGCGCGCGAAGACGTTTCCCCTTCCCGCCAGAGCCCGCGCGAGCCACCCCGCCGCCGCCCAAAATCGCCCGCATGCGTCGCAGACGAGCTCGGCTCCAAAGAAACGAGGGTTTCGGTCGTTTCCAGAGAGCCATGCGGAGAGGTCGATTTTTGCTCTGGGAAGCCAGGCTCGCTTGCGGGCCATCGACCACAAACATGGCAACTTGCAGCCCACGGGCGCAGCCAGGCCTCCGGGCCAGGGTCGCAAACGCACCCTCAGTTTTTCGCTTGTCTAATCAGTGGATTTTTTTCTCTCTCTCTTTTATTTTGCATTTTTTTAATCACAGGCATTTCAACCGGCTTTATTGAAAGCTTATTAAAAGACCATGATCCAGTGCTGGGATATCAGCTTACAATGAATTTCAGACGACTGTTAAAGGCTTACAAGTTCATCTAGCAAAAGACCTCAAGCTTCAACTCTACACAGATCATTTACCTAAAAAATACTCTACATAGATCTCTAGCCAACTCAAAAGCACACTAGTTCTAACGCTCGAAACAACGCAGAAGCAGCTAAAGAGTCAATGAAGCACCAGCCATGATCATAGGTTATAGCTTTGGCTTCAGGAGAGGGCGTCGTGACTTCACCAATATCAACGTTTTGAAGATGACCGCACTAGGAGAAGCTAGAACCTTCTTGTTGAACACGACGTCGTTCCTGGTCTTCTAAATTGTCCACAGCGCACCTGCACAAATGATAAGAATTACCTTCTGTTTCTACCCTTGACAACCTTCCACGATGTCAGAGAAGAGTGATGTGCAGTTGGTAGGCGAGGAAGGTCAGTCCAGACAGTTGCGCAGGAAAGACCAAAGGAAGATAGAAAGGGGGCACTGGAACATGATGTGGTCAGAGGTTTCTACTTTGCCACAAACAGAACACTCCTCAGGCTCTGACCATTTCTTTTGTTTCAGTTGCATCATATATTGTATTCTATCATGAGTTGCCATCCAAAAGAAGACTTTGACTTTCAGTGGTATATTGCATTTCCAAATCAGTAACATTGTAGTATTAATAACACCTCCAGTAGTCTGTTACCTCACTTAAAAGTTCTACCAGTTGACCCCATTTCTCTCTTAACTCACTAAACATAGGTCTTCTGAAGGATAGGTTCCACTACCCATCAACAAAATCCTTAGCAACTTCAATTTCAGGGAGAGAGGCAATTTGAAACAGTTTATGGAAAGTAATCTTCAGAGGACATTCACCAACCCAGCAGTCCAACCGAAATCTTGTTTGATTGCCAAATCTCACATTTATAACTCTACCTTTTTTATACCATTTCCTCACATCTAGCAGGGCCCTCCAAAATTACGAGCCACCTCTTTGTTGAATTTGGAAGATACTTTTCTGACCCAAGTACTTCTTTCTCAAAAGAGCACAACACAAACTTTCATCACCTCTCTAGTACCACTCTCCCAAGATATGGACCTACTCACCCAAGAAAGCTCCTGCTATAATTTTTGCTATGCATAAGAGGAGGTACTAAATTTTGTTAAACGAAAAAAGGTTTTAATAAATCATGTTACCAAATCTAAGGATGATCTAAAAAGCTCGAGTATTGTTGAAAGCACAATATGCAAAGTACTTGTACGTGTGAAGCTAGAATCAGAGCAAATGTTTTGTGACTAGAGTAGACCTAGAGCATAACCACAAACTAGCCTCATCAATTTGGTTGGTTAGGTGACAGGAGTACACATACTGCATATTAGTGTTCTTACTGAATAGGAATCTGTCGTCTATAAATGACACTAACACACTACTACATTTTATTGATACTACTACAAGATGACTAAATTTTATTCTTTGGGTCTGTTTAGAGCTTCCCATCTAATCATGTGGTACTTTCTCTTCTTACTAATACCTTGCCAGAAAAATCTTGATCTAATTGTGTTTAATGCTTGAAAGTTACCCTCATATAACTGATACACACCCATAGTGTACATTGGCATACTAGATAAAGCAGCTATGTATAAGGATTGATTTACCTCCAGATGATAAGTACTCACACTGCCAAGTGCTTAATCTCTTCTCAGTTTTATCACTAACATACCTCAAGTGAGCTTTTGAAATCTTACCATCACTGACAGGCATGCCTAGATATTTCATTGGGAAGGCTCCCAGTTTGCAACTAAGAGAAGCTATCCTGTTGTTCTGCCTCTGTCAATCCCATAGTAAACACTTCACTCTTATCAAAGTTGATTTTCATGCCTGACATAGCCTCATTGAAAGCTCTAGTTTGGTTTTGGTGAATTGATGAAACCCTAAGTGCTAACCTAGTTTATCAAGTGATCATGAGATAGGTAGCACACTGCAAGTGGTGAAGCAAATGAAGATCATAGCATGATAAAGATGATGGCATGGTGATGATCAAGTGCTTCGATTTGGAAAGAAGAAAGAGAAAAACAAAAAGCTCAAGGCAAAGGTATAATTTGTAAGAGCTATTTTGTTTTAGTGATCAAGACACTTAGAGAGTGTGATCACAT